TGTTGGCTTTGGTGTGGACTCATGGCAGGAAGAGAGAGAGCTTATCCGGCAGGAGCTGGGATGCTGCAGGGGTCAACCACTGAGGGTTCCAGCGAGGGCTTCAGGCAGGCAGAAGGCTGAGGAGAGCTTGGTCTGAGCAGCAAGGAAGGGCTGAGAGGCCTGGAGTCGAGTCCAGCACTGCCTCTCTGGGCTACCCTTGGGTGCGAGTTGCCAATTTGTGCAGACTTGCACTCTGTTTCCTGGAAATGTGGACGTCACCTATGGCTCCTCCCCAGCCGAGGAACACAGCTGGCCCAGTCTCCTCAGGACCCTTTAGGGATCGGTGGGAATTCTCTGACCTGACACCTAGAAAGTGAAGACGACAGTGATGACAATAACAGTGACATCCACTGTGCCGCATCCTGGGTTAAGAACGTCCCATGATGCTTCTCATTCCATCTCATCATCCATCAATGGCTCCCTAGTGCTCTTGGTTAAAGGTCACTGTCTCCACTGTGGCCCACAAGGCCCTGCATGGCATTGTCCTACTGACCTCTCAGGCTCCCTTTCAGACCTCTTTCCCCTTCACACTATGTCCCCCAAAATGAACACACCCTGCCTCTCTGCCCCAGGGCCTTTGTACCATCCATTCCACTTACCAGGAATGCACTCACCCTGCCCTCCAGCTGTGTAACCCCTCCGTCCTCTGCTCCCAGCTCAGTGGCCATCTGGTCACCCACCCTCCAGCTAACTCAGGTTCCTGTGCACTTGTCCTGGATTTAAGAGGCCACAGCCCCTTCGTACAGAAGGACGTATAGATCCACCCATGTTTAGTTACCAGATTGGTCCTGCCTCTCCTGCCAGGTTGTGGGGCCAAGAAGTTAGGATGGTCACTATGGGCTGAAGGAATAATAAGGAAATAAATAAATAACTGTCTATTTACAAAGAAGAGCTCACGGAGCCCCAGGCGTTGGTATGGTTTCAAGGGCAGGAGCAGGGCTCAGAGGATCAGAGATTTGCCTCAGGTGAATGTGGAGGGCTCCCTCCTGCAGGGGGCGAGGCCTGGGCCAGGGCCCATCAGAGCATAGGGTCACTGTGAGCGGGGGTCAAGGCTGGAGGAACTTGGGCCTGTCCAGGAGGCAGGTCCGCTGGGCCAGCGCCTTTGGAGGATGTGCTGAGCACAGCTGCCCGGCAAAGGGGAAGGAACTGGTGCAGGGTGGGGGGCTGTGCCTGGAGCCCCCAGCTCTGCCCCAGCCTGGCCTTCACCCGGCCCAGCCTGTACAGGCTCAGTACCCGTTTCTCACGCTCTCTCGGGCCAATACTGCTATTTAACTTTTCAAGGTGGGCCACACCAGGCATGGACAAGGGTGGTGGCCAGGCCCCCTTGCCCACCATTTTGCAGGGTGATTTGGCAATAGGTGTGGGAACTCCAAGCTCATGGCCCTGACCCAGCAACCTGCTTCTGGGGCTTTATCTTAGAGAAACGCCAGTGTCAGCCACCCGTGATGCCTGCACCAGGGGGTATCCACAGGAGCCCTGAAGATCCTCGAGAAGACTTGAAAGCCACTGGGCATCCATCAGTAGAAAAGGATAAGTCGATCATGCTTCACTGACCCCATGGAAGACTGGGTAGTAGTTCAGGGGACAAGCTCATCTGGATGAACTGACACAGGGTGTTTGTGACATCTGTAGGTACTGATAAAAATAAATTGCAGAACTATGACTATGTTGCTTTTTTCTTTTTCCTGGTGCTGGGGATTGAACCCACAGGTGCTTTGCCACTGAGCTGTATCTCCAGCCCTTTTTTTTTTTTTTTTTTTTTGAGACAGGCTCTTGCTAATCTGAGAGCCTTGCTAAGTTGCCGAGGCTGGCCTTGAAATTTCCATCCTCGTGTCCCAGCCTCCAGTGCCTCTGGGACCACAGGTAGTGCCACCATGAAGGGACAGAACGGTTTCAGTGATCAATTGCTGAATAGCCAACTCCAAAACTGGCCATTTCTTTTACTCCAAGTGGCATAGACAAGGGTCACTCGCATGGTCGTGTTTGTCTGGGGCTGGAAATTTGAGAATGCCTCTCCTCCTTCAAGGCCTGTCCCCACAGGACCCACTGTCTACCAGAGCTTCTTACCACATGGTGACTGGATCCCAGGAGTGAGTGTGTCCGGAGGACAAGCCTCGAAGTGCAAGCCTCATCAAGACTCTGCCCGAGTGGCGCTTACTAGTGTCCCCTGGCCAAGCCTCGTCACGCCCCATTCCACAGGGCTGGGGATGAGCTCCACAGATAGACACATGCCGGTCCACACCAACATCAGCCAACAAGGGAGAAGGAATAAATGGGAAGAAAGAAGCAAACTGCTCAAATAATTTAGGATACTCTTCCCAAGAAGCGGAGTTTTAAGTCCCCACCAGTTGAGTGAGGGCTTGACTTGGTGACTCACTTCCAAAGTGGATAGAAAAGGGGAAAAGAAGGTTGGGGACATAGCTCAATAATAGAGTGCATGTGAGGGTCCCTGGCCTGGGTCCCCAGCACCACAAGAAAAAAAAATAATTAAAAAGAAAACAGCTGGGCACAGTATCCCAGAAGCTTGGGAGGCTGAGGCAGGAGGATCTCAAGGTCCAAGCCAGCCTCAGCAAAAGCAAGACGCTAAGCAACTCCATAGGCCCTGTCTCTAAATAAAATACAAAATAGGGCTAGGGATGTGGCTCAGTGGTCAAGTGCCCCTGAGTTCAATCCCCTGTACCACCCCCCCCAAAAAAAAGGAAGGAAAGAAAACAAAATGAAAAATAGTAACTTCATCCCGGGGGAAGGCCATGGCCACAAGCACTGTGTCCTGGGAAGTGGTGCCTATGGACACAGTGTGACAAGGAGGCGTTTCACTCTCCTCTGTGCACGTCTTTCTCCAAATCCTTCGCCCAAATCAATCACGAGAAAACCAAAGTCAAATGCAGATGGAGGCCGTTCTGCACAGTACCTAACCAGCAACCCTCCAAACTCAGCCATGACGCAGGGCAGACCGAGAAATCGTCACGGACTAGAGGACAGCAAGGAGGTGGGAAGACACCAGGTGGTCATGCAACTGGACCTTGGAACAGAAAAGGGAACTTCCTGTAAAAACAAGTGAAATCTGGGAAAAGGCTGGGGTCGAGCTGGTGGTCACACCCGACGCCGTGTCCTTGGCCACCTGTCCCGCAGTCGGTTAAGAAAGATAACTTTGGGGAAGCCAGGTGAGGAGTCTGTGCGAACTCTGAATCATCCTTGCAGTTTTTCTGTAAGTCTAACATTATCCCAGCCTTATTAAAGGCTGGGCATGTAGCTCAAGGGTGGACGGTGTGCTCAGGATCCCAACACCAAAAAGAAAGAAAGAAGAAAAAGTTTATTAAAGAAAAAAGGGGCGGAGGAGCTGGGGTTGTGGCTCGGCAGTAGAGCGCTCGCCTAGCAAGTGTGAGGCGCTGAGTTCGATCCTCAGCACCACACAAAAATAAATAAAATAAAAGTGTTGTGTCCAACTACAACTAAAAAAAAAATTTTTTTTTGAAAAAAAAGAAAAAAGGGACCTAGTAACAGTTGCAGACGCCTTTAATCCCAGCGTCTCGGGGACTGAGATGGGAGAATGGCAAGTCCAAGGCCAGCCTGGGCAACTTAGTGAGATCCTGCCTCAAAATAGAAATCAAAAATAAAAAGGGCTGCAGGTGTAGCTCAGCAGTAGAGCACCCTGGGTTCAACTCCCAGGACCAGAAAAGGGATGGGACGTCACCTCTGAGGTTAGATTACACAGGGACTCTGGGATTTCCTCTTGCTATCTTGCTTATGGCCCTGATGAAGTTGCCTGCCGTGTTGCAAGGTGTCCGTGTGGCGCAAATGGAGAGAGGCCCCAGCCACCAGCCATCAGGAAGCCAAACCCTGCAGCCCACCAGGCTGAATTCAGCCAGCAACCCGGCGGGTGAGCCTGGAAGCAGTCTTCCCCCCTGAGCCAGGAGCCGGGCCTCCAGCCCCTGCTCATAACTTGATTGTGAGTTTCCGAGACCTTGAGCCAAAGGACCCACCCAGGTTGCGCCTGGATTCCTGATCCACAGCGACTGGGACGACTGGGACGTAAATGTTTGTTGTTTTAAGCTGCTAAATTTTGGGGCATGGTATGTGAGGCAACAATAGATAAGTAATAGAGTTTCCCTCTTTGGGGGTACTTTCTCATGGCTCTGGGGACCCCGACACAGTTCTATTCTGCTCAGATACAGCAGAGGCACTAAACGCAGGCCCCGGGCTCTGCATACTGGCCTCCCCTTGGTCCAGTGTGGAGGCTGGTAATTTTTCTAAGATTGTTGAAATAAAAATTCAAAACTTGAATTCTCAGAAGAGAACTCAGGGACCACAGTTTTAAAATGCCACACCTTCTAAGTGCTCCAATGGCACCTCATTCAAGGCCCTCAGGCTGTGACCCTCTTGCCCTCCTTCCCTCCTTTTCCCGTTTCCCTCACCCCCTGTTCCCCTGTGCCTGTGTGTGTGCGCGCGCGTGCATGTTGAACCCAGGGGCGTTCACTGGGCTCCGTTGCCAACCCTTATAATTTTTTAGGCAGTGTGTCTGTGAGTTGCTGAGGCTGGCCTCAAACTGGTGATCCTCCTGCCTCAGCCCCTCCTCCTGGGAGCTGTATGGCCTCAGGGTGAGTGAGGCCTTCTGAGTCTCAGCCTCCGCACAGGGCCTCCTAGAGAGTCTGGGGACAAGCCCTGCACACAGCACCTGGTGGGTCCACAGGGAGCAGCGGCCTTTGTGCCTCAGCCTTGGAGAATCTGGTGCTGCCGGCTCGCAGGCTAGGATGTCAGGGCAGTTGGCAAACTGATCCTGGGCCTCTGTGACCACAGGCCCGTCCCAAGCAACGGGTCCTGCCCCTGGGAAGCCGGAGGCAGGAGGGGCGCCGGGTCAGAAGACTGTGTTCCGGACTGCACCGGGCAGGCTGGGCCTCCCTCTGAGGAGAGTCAACGGCTTCTAGAATGTGCTCCATCAGCACTTCCTTCCTCTGGGTGGCCAGTGGCCTCTGCTCTGGGGCAGCAGGGGGGCCTTGCCCTAAGATTCCTAAGGCCGCCCTCTCAGAGCAGCAATGGCCGCGGACAAGAAGTGAGTCCACCTGGGCCTGAGGGGTGGGTGGTCCTGGGATGGGGAGCAGGAGTCACGGGGAGGGGGACCGAGTTCTGGCGAGATGGAAGGCGGCAGCAGGGACCCGGCATGGCTTAGAGCTGAGAGTCCTCCACTGCTGTGCTCCCCTCTCGCTCCCCCATCTGCCAGAAGGGCGCCCAGGGCCGCCGGGAAGCCCCCGCAAAGCCCAGGGCCTCCTCCGTTGAGTACGCAGGGCTCAGGGGCATCGCCATACACTTCCCCCTGAACCGGCCACGTCTGTTGACAGTTATTTTTCTTTTGATATAAAATTTACATACAAAGAAATGCATCAATCTTAAGTGGACGTTTATTTATCTATCGGCTAATGCCAACTTCTATGTAATGCAAACACCCACCCCTACGAGAACATGGCTGCCACTTAGAAGATGGCCTGATCTCCCAGGCAATCCTTGCTTTTTTTCTTGTGTCAAGATTTCATAGAAAAGGGACTGACCAGCATGCGCTGCGCTCCTTCCTCCTGGTGCGCGGTCTGGAGGCCCATCCTCCTTGTGGTGTCCGTGATCCGTCCCTGTTTCTGCTGGTCGTGTTCCATTATCTGAGCACGCCACGTTTGCTCGCCCATCCTGTTGCTGGACGGCTGGGCCATTTCCAGGTTTTGTCTGCCATAAATATAGCTGCTACAACCCGGCGCAGTGGCACAGGCCTGCAATCCCTGCGGCTTGGGAGGCTCAGACAGGAGGATCGTGAGTTCAAAGCCAGCCTCAGCAATGGCGAGGTGCTAAACAAATACAAAACAGGGCTGGGATGTGGCTCAGTGGCAGAGTCCCCCAGAGTTCAATCCCCGGTACTCAAAATACATAAAGAAAGCTGCTAGGAATGTTCTTGGTCACGTCTTTCTGTGAACGCTGCTTTGTAGCTCTTGGGTGAGAACCCAGGAGCAGAATGGCTGGTGTGCAGGGCCCACATCCTTGCCGACACTTGGCATTGTCTGTCTTTTTGATCTGAACCCTGTCGGGGATCATGTGGAATGCCTCATCTTGACTTCCATTTGTACTTTTCTGATGAACGATGATGGACACTTTCTGTGCAAACCCTATAGCTTCTCCTTTGAAGCGTCTGTTCAAATCCACTGCCCATTCTTTATTGGGTTCTGTTAGTATTGAGTGTTAGGAGTTATTTGCATCTCTTGTATCAATACTATGTCAAGTAATGTCCTTTTTAAAGATTTTCTCCCTGTCTGTGACTGACCTAGTCCTTATAATTTTTATGGGCATCAGGGATTGAACTCGGGGACACTCAACCACTGAGCCACATCCCAGCCCTATTTTGCATTTTATTTAAAGTCAGGGTCTCACTGAGTTGCTTAGCGCCTTGCTTTTGTTGAGGCTGGCTTTGAACTTGCGATCCTTTTGCCTCAGCCTCCTTTTGTGTACACCACCAAGCCCAGCTAAAACTTACATATTAAATAAGAAAAAGATCTAGGGCTGAGGCTGTAGCTCAGTGGCAGAGCACTTGCCTAGCATGCACGAGGCCCTGGATTCCAATCCCTGTAAACTTCAAAAATGAATAAGAAAGATAAAGTTAAAAAATGCAAGAACTTTTGGCATATGAGATGGACAGTTGTCGGAACATGTGATCACTGAGCTGAGGAGTGTGGAGGATTGAATCTGGGAAACGGAGCTCAAATTTTAGAGGGTTTCCTATGAATCACGTCACATACACTATCCCATTTAAACGTCTCACCGTCTCCATGAAGTAGATCATAGTCCAAAACTCAGAGCTCTGAGTGTCACTTTTTCCGTTTTAGTTTTGGTTCTGGTTTGCTTTGCTGAGACTGGATCTCTCTACTACCCAGGTCGGCCTCAAACTCCTGGGCTCTGGTGATCTTCCCCCTGCGCCGGCTTCTGAGAGTCAACACAGTGTCCAGTCTGAGCTGGCTGCGGGCTGAGCACTCGGCTCCCAGAAGGCCCTCCTGCCTGACTCGGCTCACCCACCTTTTCCTCTAGTGTAGCCCAGAGCCGTCCAGTGGGGTAGGAGCTCAGCTGACCCCTGGAGGCCCACTGGGGAGCGCAGGCTTCTAAAACAATCAGGGAGCTCTGAGTCCTTGTTGTTTTGCGCAAGGAGCCCCAGCGGGTCCCACACTGGCTGGTGGCTGCTGGAGCTGGGTCACTGGCCTTTTCCTGTCTTGAGACTCCAACTCGAATGGCCACTCCTAGGTCAGGAGCCCCTGGGATCGCAATTCACACCATCAGCTGCGCTGGGGCTCAAACGGGAACTCACCTCGGGCTTTCCTGGGTCGCCAGACTTCCTTTCTTTTCCTTCTTTCTTGCTTGGTTTGTTGTTGTTTTGTTTTTGTTCTTTGGTACCAAGGATCGAACCCAAGAGCGCTTAAGCTGAGCCACATCCCCAGCCCTTTTTATTTTTTGAGACAGGTTCTTGCTAAGTTGCGTAGGGCCTCACTAAGTTGCTGAGGCTGGCTTTGAACTTGTGATCCTCCTGCCTCAGCCTCCGGAGATTACAGGTGTGCGCTCCGGCACCCAGCCACTGCCTTGTTTTTAACGCTGGTGTGGCATTCCGTGGCCCATCTATACTAAAATGTCTTCAGTGAGTCTTGTATTAGTTATTTACTGACACAAAACAAGAACCCCAAAATTTAGCAGCTAATCATCACAAACATTCCTTGTCTGGGTTTCTCTGGGCCGTGGGCTGGGGCCTCAGGCCTCCCGTGGGAATCTCTGACTGTTTCTCCTCTGATTGTTCCAGGCCTCCATTCCTTGCTATCCACGTGTCCCAGGGCTGTGACAGCTGCCTCCACCAGAGGAGTCCAGAGAAAGCACAGATGGCGCTCCCCTCTCCTATGACCTAATCTCAGAAGTGGCGGCCTCCAGCAGCCAACCACTGGCCCCCAGACTAGCTCTGCTGAATGTGGAGGGGGCTCACCAAGTCACAACACCAGGAGCCAGGGCCACCAGGCTGCTGGAGACCCTCGACCGCAAACACCTGCCGATAGAACGGGAGCCCCCTTTCTCCACCCCAAACCCTGCAGCGGCGGGTGCCCTTGCTGGCTCCCTGGGCTCGCCCTGGGGAGGGCTTTGCTCCTGGATAAACTCCCCGGGCAATGCACGGGCCTCTTTGTACCTTCTCCCCACACCCCGGGAAGGGATGTGACCTCCTTGTGACAGGTGGAGGGGTGGGAGTCTAGGGCCGCGGGGCCCCTGGGGGACTCCAAGCCCCCGCAGGACCAGCCATCTTGGTGTGAGTTTTCCAAAAGGACTTTTTCAATGGGAGAAGAGGGTCGAAGCTGAGGACTAAAGATGACCCTGAGCCACAGTGACATGAGCTTCGTGCTGGACCTGCTTCAGGAAAATGGAGGTGAGGCGGGGCCATCGTCCCGTCACATAGATGAGGAAACTGAGGCTCAGAGAGGGTGAAGACTCGGCTCAGGCTGCACAGCTGGTCAGTGACAGAACTGGAGTGACAGCTGTGTCCCCAGACTCCCAGGCCCTCCTTCCAGATTCCCACCAGGTGTCGGCCAGGTGTGGGACACCATCGGTCACCCCAAGAGCTCTGAGGCGAGCTTCATTCTTCCTCCCTTCCAACAGCAGAGGAAAGCAAGCCACCAAGGCCCGAGGGGGGCAACACTGCAGATGCCACACAGGGGTGTGTGTCATGGCCACGTGCAGGCTGGAGGCTGCCTAGGGCTCTGAGATGGGGCACAGGAGAAAGGAAGGAAAGAGGAGGCAGGGCCTCGAGGGAGACATCATCTCCAGATTCCCCGTTATCACAAATTCTTATCGTTGAGGCAGAGCCAAAAACAGGATGTGGGTTTCCCTTTAAGGGGCTGGTGCCCCAATCTGATGCCTATGATCAGACTCCTGTGAACACCATGGGAGATGCTGTCCACAGTCAGGCCCTGGCTGTGTGACTGTAGATGCATGGCCTGACCTCTCTGGGCTTCTGAATAGACCCTACTGCACAGGTTGGGCTGGTGAGAGGGTGTCCACTAAATGGTGACGAGCGTTCTTTCCAGTGTCGGTGGTGGGCACAGTTCTTTACCAAAAGAGAAGGCAGCTCTAACAGAATGGCCAACCTTACCCTTTTTCCCAGGACCGCCTCCGTCCTTGGCTGGCATCCGGCGCCAGCACACCACTGTGCAGGGGATCTCCCTCCCTGAGGCCAGCCGGGCCTGGCCACTGACCAGGGCAGGTACAGCAGCAGCCCTTGACAGGTCTCAGCCCCTGTGGGGGACCAGCTGCTTCCCTTCACTGGGCCGCAGAGGGAGGACCCGCCCTGCCCCCTAGCGCCCAGTTCCCTGGGCTCTGCCTGGGCCCTGAGAGTGCCATCTGCATTTAGGAATGGCAGTCCAAGCTCTCAGGGTGAGTGCAGGGATGCGGGTAAAGAAAGGAGAGTCCAGGCCCAGGGAAGGACACTGGGCAAAGCGATGAGGACCCCCGTGCGGACCCACTCAGCTCTAGTATGGCTACGGGACCTTGAGCAAGCCCCAGCTTCCTGCAACCAGAGGGAGCGCGAATGGCGATCTTCCAAACTAGTCAAAGCAGCCTTCACTCTCGCAATTGGATTCTGACCTGTCACTCACCAGCTGGGTAGCACGCAGGAAGTTACTTAACCTCTCTGAGTCCATTTCCTCAAATCAAAAACTGAACAGAGTGGTTGACGGGACTGAATGGAGAGGGGACGGTCCTTGATTGCCGGGAGCTCAGGGCACAGGGCTCTGACAAGGAGCTCATTTTTTTCCCCTTTAATTTTTATTTTATCAAAATAATGCCACACTCCGGTGAGTCTCCGACGTCACCGTCACTCACGTGCCACCTGGAGGAAACGCTGTCAGGGATGCACCAATTATAGAAAGATGCGCCCTGCTGTCGCAGCGCTGCGGTTGACTCAGGGCGCAGCGGAGGTGGCGCCGCGGTTTCCGGCCCGCGCCCTCGCCCCGCCCGCACCTCGGGCGGCCTGTCCCCTGCGCTTGGGCATCTCGGGTTCCTGGGCGTCGGCTCCCCCCGGCCCCTCCAGCCGCCTCCCCACCTCCCCACCTCCCCACTCATTGTTTAGCCTGTCCGCCGCGCGCCCTGTGACCTCCTGGGACGAGGACGAAGGACTGGCCTCCCCGCCTCAGAGCCTCCACCAGCCTCCGTGGAGGGAAGCGAGCGGCTTGGCGTTAAATCCTTAGCTCCCTTCGGACTTGAATACTTGGTTTTCTTTCTCTCTTTCTCCGACTCCTGAGTTGGAATCCTCCTCTGGCCCAGCTTCTCAGGCGGCTGGGACAACAGGCGCGGACCCGCTAGATAGGGGGTGCGCTTCTGGTTTGGGAGGTCCCAGGCCTCAGGAGCTACTCCCCAGCCCTGTTCACGTCTTCTTCTTTCAATATTTATCTTTTAGTTGTAGGTGGACACATGGCTTTATTCTACTTTATGTGCTGCTGAGGGCCTCACCTGGGCTAGGTGCTGCTCTACCTCTGAGCCCCAGCCCCAGGCCCCCTGTACACTTCTTTTTTAACATTTATTCCTCGTCGTTGGACACAGTATCTTTATTTTATTTACTTATTTTTATGTGGTGTTGAGGATCGAACCCAGGGCCCTGCACCTGCGAGGTGAGTGCTCTACCGCTGAGCCCCAGCCCCAGCCCATGTACACGTCTTTACATAAGTATTTTATACCTGGAATTTTGAAAATCATTCTGCAAACTGGGCATGGTGACGCACACCTGTAATCCCAGCAAGTAGGGAGGCCGAGGCAGGAGGATTCCGAGTTCAGGCCAGCCTCAGCAATGTATCAGGGCCCTCAAGGACTTTGCAAGACTGTCTCAAATTAAGAAACAATCACACCTGGGGGTGCAGCTCAGCGGTAGAGTGCCCTGGGTTCAATCCCTACTGCAAAGAAAGAAAGAAAGAAAGGAAGGGAGGGAGGGAGGGAGGGAAAATTTAGAAGCATGATTCCTGATTTTAAATTTTCTTTTTTCTCTTTCTTCCCGGGCTGGCCTGGAAGCTGCGATCCTCCTGCCTCAGCTCCTGCCCACTTCCACCAAGTCACTGGGATCGTAGGCATGAGCCACTCACCCGGTTGCCTTTTAAAAATTTCTGTAGTTGGCACAGATGTTCACACATATTTGTGGGGCGTTGTACAATAGTTCAGCACGTGTATCAATGTGTAATGACCACATCAGGGTTTGGGAAACTTCAGGCTCTTTTCTAGTTTTTTTTTTTTTTAAGCTGTTGATGGACCTTCATTTTGTTTGTTCATTTATACTCAGTGCTGAGAATCAGACCCAGTGCCTGACATGTGCCAGGCAAGCGCTCTACCAGAGCCCCGCCCCCGCCCTCGAGTTATTCTGAAATACCTCACAATCTGTTGACTAGTTAAAGTGCTAGGAAACTCGAGATCGAGATCCTGCCACAGCTGCCTGGTACCTGTTTCCTCCCCTCTCTATTTCCTCCCCCCAGGTCTCTGCTGACCCTGATTCTCCTCTTCTATGAGATCAACATTTTTAGCATCCACTTAAAAATGGATGAGAACGTGCAGTATTTGCCTTTCTTGACTTTTCTTGTGTAAATATTATTGGCAGCTAAGCTTTACATTTCCTCTTTTTTTTTTTTTCTTGTACGGGAGATAGAACCTGGGGCTCTTTGCCACTGAGCTACATCTCCAGCCCTCTTGTATTTTTTAAGGCAAGGTCTTGCTACATTGCTGAAGGCCTCACTAAAGTTTCTGAGGCTGTCCTCAAACTTGCCATCCTCCTGCCTCAGCCTCCCCAGTTGCTGGGATTACAGATAAGGGCCATGGTGCCCTAGTATAGGTTTACTATTATAAGAACTGCAAAGTTGTTTTGTAAAGTAGTTATTCTGTTTTATTTTTCTACTGGCACTAGGTAAATTTGTTTCTCTGCAGCGATCAACACTTGGAATTGTCTTTCATTTCAACTCTCCTAGCGCCCAGTATCCGAGTCACCTTGTGGTTTTAAGGTGTCCTTCCTTCCCTTATGGCTGAAGACATTGAGCATCTTTTTTTTTTTTTTAATGTGGTTATTGGCTATTCAAATATCTTCTTCTGTGAAGTAAGCCCTCCAATATTTTGCCCATTTTCAATTAAATTTTTTTTAATTTTTGTTGTTTTACTGAAGAGGCACAAACGTTCAGTGAGAGAAGATGAATAAATGGGAGCAAAGTCCACTCAGCACCCTCCACAGAGTCATCAAAATATTTGCAGTAGGGGCTGCGGCTGGGGCTGGGGCTGGGGCTCAGCGGTAGAGCTCTCCCCTAGCAAGGGTGAGGCCCTGGATTCGGTCCTCAGCACCACATAAAGATAAATAAATAAAACAGAGGTTTCGGGTCCATCTGCAACTGAAATTATTTTAAAAAAATATTTGCAATAAACACTCCCAGGATTTTCTAGAGACTTCCACACATGGCAATGGGTGAACAAGTTAATCCTTACTAGAAAGGGTGGAGGATGGGAAAGGGGAAGATGTTTACAAAGCAGCCAGAGAAGAGGCCTGTTCCCAGACCATTCCAAATCCGCACTCAGGTCTGGGTGCCACCCTTCAGCGAGGTCAGTGGAAAACGGCACAGAGAAAACCAGTATCCCAGACAGAGAACTGAACAGGAAATCGCAGCTCTTGAATGTGTTTGGAGAGAAGACAGATGAGGTGGGCAAGGACTGAGCTTTGGGGTTTTGTTTTTTTAAAAAATACATATCTTTGCTGGTTGTGGTGGCAAAGATATAAAATACAAAAAAAAAAAAAAAGGGTGAGTGAGTATATGAAATATTGCCAGGCATGGTGGCACAAGCCTGTAGTCCCAGCAACTTGAGAGCCTTAGGCAGGAGGATCTCAAGTTCAAGGCCAGCCTCAGCAACTCAGCGAGACCCTGTCTTTAAAAAAAATATGAAAAATGGCTGGGGATGTGGCTCAGTGGTTAAACGCCCCTGGGTTTAACCCCCAGGATCCCCAAAAAAGTTCTCTATCTCTGTCTTTCTTGATATTCCCCCTATAGTGTTCGCACAGAAGCTCCTTTAGAGAAACCAGAAAGGCCCCATCGCTGCCCCTGATTGAAGTTGAGACCTACGGGACACACAGCTGTTTTTATTCCATTTTATCCGATTCTCATTT